TTTTTTTTCTATTAAGTGCTATTTTGTATTAAACACGTTTTTCACTTTACTATTAAATTAAGAAAATCATAATTTTACCGTAATTATACTAATGCACAAACAACAATGATTTGGTACAACTATACCTTTATTCAGTTCAACTTAATTATTAGGAATAATAATATTCATAGACACACTAGCATAGACATTATATTATATGTGCCACTTCACATGATTTAAAAGTACTCATTAAAGTAATGTCATTTAGGACGGCTGAATTCCAATTTAGGTGGTATTAAATTTCATTAAATAAAATGTATAATTAAATAAATCATATAATTTCACATTTAATTGAACATATCACATAATGTTACATAGATTAGCGTTCTAGCACCACTGATGCTAGATAATATTATTCTTTATAACAGTTGGTTGGGCTTTCAAACGGACCATCACATATAACAACAAAAGAATGCTTTATGAAGTGTAATATAATAAAAATATTTTCTTGCCCAAAATATAACCAACATTGGTCAAATTGCCTCTTTTCCTTTTCTTGAATTAGTATCAAAGAGCGATTCATCATATTCCTTGGAACTTTATATCATCCCAACTTTCAAGCCTATTAGATTCAGAGAGTAGTTGAGAACTTCATAAAGATTAGGAAGGTTTGGTTAATTTCCCATCTGTATCAAGCCACAAGAAATAAAATTTAGAAGACCTCAAAAATAAAAACATGAATACATATATAATATCTTAGCCCCTGTTTGACAACTATACTTTTCAAATCATTTTTTCTACGTACTCATTTTTAATTACACATTCACACGATAAAACATTCTGTATGTAAACCCAAATTTTTTTTCTACTTTTTTATTGCACATTCTCCTGAAAATCAGTATCCAAAACTCATTTTTTCCGATTGTCAAATAGAGGCTTAATATGTTTTTAGATAGACTAGTCATTGACCGATGAATCGATCTGTAGAGCACTATCTAGTCCAACAATATTAGATGAACAATAGTATGGACTTTATTCATAGGTCCTTCGCATGCCACTTATAAATAAGAAGAGGGCTTTTTATTTCTCCAACTTTTGTTTGTTTCATCAAGCAAATCACAACAGAAATGAGCTATGCTTTTCAGCACTCTTTTACTTGCTTCTGCAACTTCTTTTTTCCTCACCTGTTTCTCTTTGTATTCATCTTTTCATCTAAAGCCACAGCTCGGAACCTAGCCAGTGTCGACAAGGCAGTGAATAATTCTGCTTCTGCTATCTTAATTTTCGGAGACTCCACAGTTGATCCTGGAAATAATAACTACATTACAACTCCATTTAGGAGCAATTTCCCACCTTATGGGAAAGATTTCTTGAATCAGGCTGCAACTGGAAGGTTTACAAATGGCAGACTTGCTAATGATTTTATAGGTGAGTTAAGAGCATGTTTGTTCTGTACGATGTTCAGATGTTCGTGTGCATGGATTTAACTGTGTCTGAATGTTATCAGCTAACTATGTTGGGCTCAAAGATTATGTGCCCCCATATTTGGATCCAAACCTCAGCA